TGATCCACGAGGAAATCGAGCAACGTCAGGAGAAGCAGTCCCCTTGTAGCCAGTGACCAACGATTGGTTCATATGCCATTCGCTCCCTCAGGATACTGGAGCCTATATGCACCATTGGTTTGGAATGAGGGTTTTCCAACTCCCCTAGGTGGACTCTCCGTGTCCACCAACCCGGTTAAAGCTCCAGACATTCACTTTTCGTCCTCTGAATTTTGTAAACAGCAGTAATGCCGCGAGAATACATTGAGTAAGAATTTCCTGTCAATGATTGTATGCACGCGACCATATGAGAGCATTTGGAGACGGAGAGCTGACTCTCCTCACTCTCGGCCGTACCAGGACATTTGGGGGCAGATAAGCGAAACAAGTCATGTTCTATGCACTATTTCCATACTTTGCTTTTGATCATATACTCGCAGTCATTCCAATTTTTAGTAATTATAATCGCCTCAATACTAGTGCTGAACTCCACCTGGAGCTACTGCCGGTTCCAAGAAGGAGGGTTGGGCATGGGGTTAGCGACCCCATCCCGTAGGAAACTAGCTCACTCATTACTGGTGCTGGTACGTGAGAAACTCAAATATGTTTCATATACTCTGTTCATTAATGGATATATTGTCAGTATCAAAAATATGTGAATATCTGTATCGTGAAAGAAGTGACTAAATTTATCAGATTTGTTTTAGAAAATGAGCATATTTTGTCTGCCTATCTGGAATAGTTATCCTGTTGATTGTGTGTAGGACATACTCTCATGGATCAGATTATTCACTAAATTACTGTCCATAAAACTAAATTGTTATGGGATCTCAGCTTTTTTATAGTAGATAGTCCAATATGTACATCTTTTCAGTGCTTTGTGTACATGTTGCTACATAAATGAATAGTCAACGAAATACACAAACCAATGTATTTTGTTGAGGGGCAATGAAGATCCGATTATATTCCAATCGTTCTATCCACACATATACAGCCACTACCAGGGATGTTCTACTCCAGTTTTTGCAGCAACGGTATTGTTTAGGGAACTGACACGACGAAAATCAAATGTCCGATGCTTTAATCCGATTGGTGGTGGGTACGGAAGATCCATCTAGGGAAATTGGAAAATCCTAATTCCAAACCAATGGTGCACATAGGTTCCAGCATCCTCAGGGAACGAATGAAACATAAACCTATTGTTGGTCATTGTCGACCGTGGGACTGCACCTCCTAAAGTTGCTTCACCACCCTATGGAAAAACACCTGCCTCAGTTTCGGTGCCCCGGAACAGTAATCCAGCCTTCATACAAATCGAATGACAAAGTATGGCGCATAGATATTTGGTGCCTTATTGTATCAATATTTATGTTTAAATAAAACAATATATACTTCCATTATTCGCTTACAAAAAATTCCATATGAGTTTGTACGCAAGAACTTGCGGTCACCTAATCAGTTTTTTGGATCTCCACAAAAATAAGTATAAATTACGCTACTTTAAAAAAAGAATGCGTCTACTAATAAATCGTATTTTCTTTTCTTTTCTACGTTTCACAGTAATCACATTTGCAATAGATGTAACTCATCCAAAGCTTTATACTAAAAAGCATAGTTCTAATGAACCTAGTATATTTGCTATCTATACTGGTCAAACACATTGTGAAATTGACAAAACTAATGGATCATCTTTACATATCTCAATTCAAAATTTTCTTGATATGATCAAATTACCAGAATCCAATGATAATAATATAAACATCACAGAGAATACAAAACATGAAAGTATTTATGAACAAGCTTTAAATTTACTTGATGCTATGGTATCACAAATTGTTTCTAATGTACATACATAGTAAATATTACATTCTCTATGAATCAACTATACAATGTATTTGTAAATATACTTTCTACTGTAACCAATATTTCTTTCTTGTTTTGTTTTCTTTTCTTCTTCACTGAATAATGCATGATATTAGCGTTGTGAATAGAAGATACTATGTTATAAGTGTTTTAAAGTGGTTGTTAAACGAATCCAATTCAATGATATTCTAATCCGATAACCTAAATCTTAGATTAAAAACTATGATCTAATTGAGTAAAAATGGAAGTTTTAGTCCACAGATCTGATTTAATTTATTCAGAGAATTTTATCGTACAAAATTTTTTTATGAATATGATCAAGGGAATTAGTCAATTACAACATAGGACCAAGCACATATATGCATCGGTCCAAGTTGCCATACTTCATTAGCATAGCAAGATAAACACCTGATTCATAGAAGTAGTTAATTCAATGATGGTAATGTATAAAAGAACGATTGTATATAAGGATATAGTACAGGAAGAAAGAATTAGTTCGTAGAAAGAACGATATGAAGCGATTTTAATCTCTTAGTTTAAGGGAATACAGAGAGTGTATACACCTACGCCATTGTGATCAATTCTGAACTATGTCACACAGAGTCTCCAACCATTGGTTATGATGGTCGCATGGACCACAACCAAGTAATCTGCATCTACCAACATGGCTCATATTAGAAGTTAGTGACTTCAAGCACTGATGCTACGTTTCGGTTTGGCCGCCCCTAACTTTCTTCCAGCCATCCCCAACACCGGTTAGCATTGCACAGAATATATATATATATATATATGTCCATCACCCAACAAGTTAATGTTGTGTACAACTCATTGTCATCTTTAAACATTCTTTTTCTATCTAGTATGAGACTTTTCTATGCTGTAATATTTCATAAGCAGCTTTTTTCCGTACTTATATGCCGACACTATCATAAGATTTAAACATAAAACAGATGAGTAGATAAGGAACATATTTCAAGGAACTCGGCTACCTGGATTACCAATTGTGTTGGGTTCTGGACGAAAATAAATAATTATTCGAAACATCTGATAACGTAGGCCTAAAGGAATATCTCCATAGGAATATAATGGTAATGTTTATTACGACATGATATATATTGATCGCTAAATTCAGCTGACCGATGTCACTATAAGAAGTGCTAAGGTGACGTGAAATGTTCAAACAGACTCCTATATTGAAATACTTCATCAGTTTCATAAGCCGGAAAAATACCAGCAGACATACGTTATTTATCAGTAGGAGTTTAAGCTAACGTATTGTCAATTTCCATACACCTATTCTAAATAACTTGTGACACAATGCTTATATCAAGTCCGATCAGTACAGGATACATGTATTTATGAAAACAAAGATTGATCAAACTCAGTCATTAATATCAACAACGGGATGACTTAAGCCCAATATTCATAATGGTCTAAACATCATAATCATTTCACAAGTGAATGGTTATCTGCAATCATCAGCCTAGTGGATAACGCACTGGCCATTTGAAATAAAAAGCACTGGTTTTAAGTCCCAGTGTAAACAACCAATACTAGGATGCAAGTAGATCCGGCTGACGAGTACTAAACAGGACGAAACACGCATCACGAATTCTTTTCGTAGATACAACACATCCTAAACAGATAAATTGTTGTAAATTTGGGTGAGACTGTAATTTATTGACGACTTTTGAGCGACGCTAAACTGATCTTGAGAATGTCCATCTAATAACTACAACCAAGTGAGGGTTATAAACCAGTGTGAGGAATTAGAATTATGGTTTACAGTTGATGATTAAGGCTATAAATCAGGTTTAGGATTTACATCACGAACTGACATCAACTATAATGCCAAGCCGCTATTTGACCAAATAGATGAGTGAATTTCGCGCCAAAATCTGAGACTTGTTATCTTATACGTGATTGGTTCGTCCGTAAATTATAGTCTCGCCTAAATATGTTTAGTCTCCTATCTAATTTAATTGAACACATAGATATTGGTACAAGGAGGCTGTGATACCCGGGTGCCCAAACCGAAGCAGGTATTTTTCTATAGGTCTGATTCACAAGGCAATCGAGCAACGTCAGGAGAAGCAGTCCCATGGTTGCCAGTGATCAACAACTGGCTCATACGCCATTCGCTCCCTGAGGATACTAGAGCCCATGTGAACCATTGGTTTGAAATGAGGGTCTTCCAACTCCCCTAGATGCAGTCTCCGTGTTCACCAACCTGTTTAAAGAGCCAGACATTCGCTTTTCGTCCTCTCAATTTCGTAAACAACAGTAACGCTACAAGAAAGCAGTGAGTAGGACTTCCCTGACAGAGGCTATATACGCGTGGTCATGTAAAAGCGTTTCAAGAGGGAAAGCGGACTCTCCCCACTCTCGGCCGTACCAAGGCATTTAGGAGTCATACTATTGATTGGAACTAACATTTACCATATGTTACACTCAGGAATTTTTATTCATTAGATGCAGTAACTGTGAATATGATTCTGCTACCAATCTACGACATACATTAATAGTAAATAACATCTAAAAGAAAATCATTTTACAGGGAATAAAATAATGGAAACAAAGTCAGTCAGCTACAACGTAGGACCAGGCACATATGTGCATCGGTCCAGGTTACCATACCGCATCAACACAACAAGATGAACACCGGATTCATAGCAGTGGTTAGGTCAAAGGTAGTAATATATAAGAGAAAGATTGTATATAGAGATATAGTACAAGAAGAAAGAAATGGTTCGTAGAAGGAATGATATGAAGTGATTTTAATCTCTTAGTTTAAGGGAAGACAGGGAGTGTATACACCGACGCCATTGTGATCGATTCTGCGTCATGTCACACAGAGTCTCCAACCATTGGTTACGATAGTCACACGGACCCCAACCAAGTAGTCTGCATCTACCAACATGGCTCAGACTAGAAGTTAGTGACTCCAAGCACTGATGGAAACAAAAGATGATGATGATGTTTACCTACGATATACCATCATCGAATTTATCGTTTATAGAAAGATAAATAACATAACTAGTCAATTCTTTATAATTGTACTATAATACGATGATAATCATTTTCTTAACAATCATATCATCAAATTAATATTGTCTTTAAATAAACAAAATGAATTATTATAAAGAAATAATTAGAAACTATTCTATGTCTGGATTAGCATGACCTGAAAGTACTGAAGCCGCATATTGAACATGAATACGATATGGGATAGTAACATCAATCACAAATGATTGTTTACGCATTGTATCTAAAAATTCAGTCAATTTAGGGAATTCTTTACGTAATTCATCATTTATATTTAGTTCATTGATTTCTTCTGGTTTTTTACCGGTTATTCGACCCATAACTACTTCGAATCGATGCAAATGTGGAAACAAAATCAAATCGGCTAGACTTAATTCAGGACCTAAAAAGAAAAAAATATATACTATTTGAGAGAAAAAGCAATTCGATTGGGAGGCGAATGAAAATCTCCATGATAAGGCAAGAATCCTTGGATATTGACTAGGTTATATCGTACAAATAATAGTTTAGACTACGATGTAAATACTATGACGAAACACAATCTAAATTGTAATATTCCCACAGCTTGACTAAACAGAGAGAATGATGATTACCAATTTTTGTATAAACTACAAACACGTAACGAATAAGACGAGAATCTGAAAATTGATTTAAAAGTGTGGGAACGATGATTTTCGAAAATAACATCTGCGTATAGCATGATAATACAGTAATATCTAAAGAAATATATTGACTTCAGCACCTCTGATAAACTAGTTATTGGCCTACTAAACAGATCAACGAAGTGCTATTTGATAAAAATATTAAATAAATTGCACAGAATAGACCTGAATTCGTAGAATAGGGCGTATAAGATACTTTCAAAGCTCAAGATCTAAGGCAAGCCGAAGAGTGAACTCATCTACATCACAATTGTAACCAATTCTGAAACATTTCAATCAAAATCTCCAACGATTGGTTATGATAATCGTGTGGACCACGCACAGACAGCCTGCACCCACCAACACATCTTCGTCGAATAGTAAGGGACTTCATGGAATGATACATTGTCTTGGTTCGGGCATGAGTAGCTTTCTCACAACCTACTCCTAACACCAGTATGGTGGTGGTTGTGATGGTTGGAGATACGTAATATATATTCCAACCATCTGAGTTGATAAAGATTTACCATCTCTTTAATAGATTAACCACTTTTACTTATTATCGTGCATCTGGTTCCAGATTAGTCCACTTGATGATCCCAACATAGGGGAGTAATGATTTGATGAACAAATAAACTTATTTAAAGCTGTTAACTAAGTATCCTACTAATTTAAGAACGTGGATACCAACTACTTATCATAATTTCACAAGAGAATCATAAAATTGGATTCGCTAAAAATGTGTAGCATAAGCTCAGATCAAGTTAGTATCTGTTGGATGGAGTGATCAAAGCATTAAAAAACCGTAGGCGTTTAATGATGTAATTTTTACAGATTTAAAGTTTAAATTATCAGGTAATATCAACAAAACCTTGTTTCACTGTTTCCCAGGTCTCTTTCGAACACATATGGAGTACATCCTATTGTAACTTAATAACTAAAAGGTATTATGCCTTTTATGAGGCTAATAGTAATTGGTTTTCAATAATATTCCATTTAAGATCAGTTCTATTTTGATGGAGTTTTGTTCTCTGAGCTAAATGGTTTGATCGTGCACCTTTCATCGGTTCTTCTGAACGACATCATCAGCACAAACTTTAGGTAGATGTGAAGTGTTCGAATTTCACCACATATGGTTCACAGCTTGTTCTGTAGATCTTGATGTTGACTGGTTCTTGTTGACCTTCAACCTGTTATTGTTTACTTCTTTGTTTTGGTTGTATTTCCTATTGCTGATGATATCGTTCAGATGAACAATGAAAGCTCCACAACCAAACCATCCAACTCAGACTACAAAACTCCATCAAAATCATCTATCTGAGCTACAAATCTTCTCCACCATCTCGAGATCAGTTCTATTTGGAAGTATAATATAATTGAAGATTGAGACAAAACTTTACTTTATTGTGTCGAATTGTTTTGAAAATTTCTTAACGATTCTAAATTAAACTCAATCCACTGTAAAATTCATAAATATTTTAACTTCAATCCAGTAGATCGCATTACAATTAAACATTCACTTGGACATCTATTTTCTTTATGTGTAATGTGAAATAACCACAAGAACTGAACAATATAAAAGGGTTTATTATCATTAGCACAGATGAAAATCATCAAGACTCCATCGAGTATCGAACATACAAGACTTTCAATTCTAGGAGATGGCACTATTAGATCTCAGATTGAAGATCAAACACTTGTTGTGAGACCTGAAGGTGTTGGATTCGATTCTTATCGAATTCATGCACGTACATCTTTGGAAGTACTATATTAGGTCAACTAGCATAACAATGATGCTGCCTTCTCACACGGAGGGGCTAGGTTAGAAAAGATCGACCCAAAAAATGCACACCTCGCCTTATCCCACGGATATCCGTCTCCGGCGGTAAGGTTTCAACAAGAATGGAGCTAACATGGAAATTACTCACAAAAAGGTCGTACGTGACCGACCTCATGCAGTTGTCCCTTGGGCACTGCAGTCACGCCCTCAGGTCATCAAGAAAACCTTTAATCCAATTTCATTTTCAGGTACTTACAGAAGAACCCTTCCACAGTGTGAGCAACCGGGAATCGATAACCGCCATCATACCTCTAACAATACTCAAGACCACTGACTGATTGATACTAAGTCAAAACGGCTATCCAGCGTTTCACGGTTCCAATGATTTTCTAACAGAAGTCAATTCATGAGGTAAACTATAAAATTTAACAAGTCTTCAACAGCCCTCCTATAACTTATAATATTTTATTAGGATGCTAAGTGAATATGGGATAAGTTTGTTTTCTTTCTTTTTTTTGATGAAGATTGTAACCTAGCAACAAAATACAATTAGAAAATATGACCAAACTTAAAGGATCTCACATCCAATGTAACTTATTGAATTGTTGGAGGTAAATTAAAATAGATAACTGATATAGAAGATTACTGGTCATTACTAACTATTGTAACAATAATCTAATACATATTTATCATTAAAATAAATAAATTGAATTACCAGTAAAATATGGACCTTTGATAGCGTCATTTATCTTATTGCATGCTGCTCGATATAGTGATACATCACATAGATTTATTTCTTGCACACACATAATCATATAACTTGGTCTCGATATCTATATAAATACAAAGGATATATATATATATATATATTCATTAAGTAAAGCTATCGTGGATAAATAAAAGTTATGTTATGGTACGGTCGAGGGTGGGGAGCGTCATCTCTCCCTCTCCAAATGCTCTCACATGGCCACGAAAAGCGCACGTCCGACGCTATAACCGGGTTAGGGGATACGGAACATTCATCTAAAGGAGTTAGAAGACCCTCATTTAAAACCAATGGTGCACGTGGGTTCCAGCATCCTCAGAGAACGAATGGAATATGAACCTATTGTTGGTCACCGTCAACCATGGAAGTGCACCTCCTAAACTTGCTCTACCACTGCCTTGTGTATTAGACCTGTAGGTCAAAGGCTCGAGGAGTGGTGCACTATGAAAACCATTTGCCTCAGTTTCGGCGTCCGAACAGTAATCCAGCTTTGATACAAATCGAATGACGAAGTGTGGCGCATATGTATTTTGTGCCTCATTGTATCAATGTTTATGTGTTTAAATAAATAAACTATTGATGTAGTGTATGCTATTTATGTCTATCAACATAAGTGGTATGTAACTACGATCAAAAGTGAACTGCCTTACAGCAGAAGGTTAAGAACATCAAATTGAAGAGAACGGGAATGTAAACAGAGTAATATCAGAGAAGGAACGATGAAGTTCAGTTTTTTTATTTTACTAAATAACTCTATAATTTTCCATCAAACAACAAATTGATCTTCCCCACATGTTTAGCGAACAAATACCATTTTTCAATTAGTTCCTCACCAAGGCTCTCAATCAGTTAACCAGACACAATTTAGAACCTGAAATATGCATACTTTAGTTCAAGTTGCTATACCCAATCTCCACAGCAAGATAGATTTGTCAGGGCAAATCCCAGAGCAGTGGAGTTAGTAACAGTAGTAATGGTAATAGGAAAGATTATACATCCAAGATACAATTCAAGAAGGAAATATAACTTGGTGAATTAATAAAAAAAGGTTGTGAGGAATTTTGAAGCTTAATATCTAAGAAAAGACTAACAGTGAATGCACCTCTGTCATTAACAATGAATTTGATACATTTCACTCGTAACAGAGGTGAATGGTAGCTAGCACTGGAATCCAGGACGCACATTTCGTCCTAGCTGGAACTCTTTGGCTAATTGTACCTGTACTCCAATGTTGATGTTCAGATTGGAGTTCGAAATCAATACCTTTCGTTTGAAACAACGAACGCATTACCCGTTAAATTGACGAGTCCACATAGCCACTCACTTGTGTAACGGGTACAATATTTAGACTATTATTAATATCTGTTTGAATTATCCCTGTTGATATTCTTGACGGAATAGTTATCTATAGGTACCTTTGTTACAAACATCAATATCATTCACCCTCGTTATGGTTCTATAAGCCTTAAATTTCTACGTAGACAGATGTTTGTGTTACGCACAAAAAAGTACCATTATGCGCGTGAAGGTAATGTCACCTCTATTCATCAAAATCAATCTAAACTATCCCGTTTTTATAGTTGAATTCATGAGTCAATTGAAGCTAGACCACCATGGAAAACCTGGAAGCACTGTTTTGTTCCAGTATGGGACTCGTCAGCAGTGCACTTCAATTGGCTTATGAATTTAACTATAACTAAAGTCTCCAGGAAACCCCCATTTGATAATAATCATCATATGCTCACTAGTGACGGTATCCAAGGGGTATTTTCTGGAGTTCTAGTGAGAAGCAGTGACTAATGGAGTTCAGCCAGGTCTGTTGTGAGATGGTAACTCACTGAAGACAATGATTGACGGTGTCTCAAGTTCGTGGATTGGTCGAAGTAAGACGTTGTCACCGTCGAATGCCAGCTCAGTGGTTTAAAGGTTAAGTGCTTCCGCGCGAGACCGATAGGTCCAGGGTTGGAATCTCGCGAGGCAGGATCGTGGATGCGCACTGCTAAGGAGCCCCATACTAGAACGAAACAGCCATCCAGTGTTCTCAGGTTTTCCATGGTAGCTTAGCTTTAATTAACTCATGAATTCAACCATAAAACTACTAAAATATCTACAAAACCCCCATCTATTAATATTCTCTTGTTGCCGATAATTTCATGCATGAATATAATCTTTAGGACTCTTGTTATTGATAAACTTGTATCCCATTCTTGTTAAATACACTGGATTTTATCATATCCTTACATCAGTAGATCAAATATATTCTGAAAATATAGTAGAGTTATTAAAAGAAATTATGTTTAGAAATCAAATGGTACTACTAACATTGTTTTTCACTAAATTGTACTGGATCCGGTTGATCAGTAAATGGTTTTTGAAAAAACCATTTCTTCTAAAATGATGGTTGGATGTAGTCGACAGGATACATTGCTCAACCGAGGTTTCGTGCTATTCAGCACCACCAGTAATACTGAGGGAACTGACAGTCTCTGGTAAATTCTATCACATGTCATCTAGCTTCAAAGTCAAAGATATTAACACTGAGGTAAAATGACCATGATTGACCTCTTATAGGATTGAGACATATTAACGATTACATAGTGGTTTTAGGAAAGTGTTGAAGATATTTTTTTTTCTACCTTAAATGAACCTAATACCTCGGTCCAATATAAATGAAGAATTCATTTGAATGGTTATAATAAACTGTACAATGGTTTTACATTTTACATTGATTGATGATGTTACCAACACAAAACCAAAACAATAAATGCAGTAAAGTAATTCAGTCAGTCAACTACAACGTAGGACCAGGCACATATATGCATCAGTCCAAGTGACCACACCTAATTAGCACATTAAAATGAACACCGGATTCATAAAAGTAGTTAATTCAGAGGTGGTAATATATAAAAGAAAGATTACATATAAGGATATAGTACAGGAAGAAAGAATTAGTTCGTAGAAAGAAAGATATGAAGCGATTTTAATCTCATAGTTTAAGGGAAGACAGCGAGTGTATACACCGATGCCATTGTGATCGATCGATTCTGAGCGATGTCACAAAATGAAATTCTAAACATTGGAATATGAATGCTATAAATTATATAATACCAATTACAAAAAGATAGATTGATGGATAGAACACAGAGGAGACATCCATCTTAGAACTGATGATGACACTGATTTTTTGACGTAAATTACAATGTTGTATTGTCGTAATCGTTCATGAATGAAATAACCAATCATCATTATCATTTGATTGTATTAACAATATATATTAACTAGGCCATTGATGGTATTTTTTTTTACTAAATAAGTACTATGTTTGACTCAAAAAGATGGTTTAAGAGAATCTGTTGTCAGGCATTAGGTAAATTTGCACAGGTTTAGGTGTTGGGGACGATAGATCCCCAAACTCATACTATTAAATTTTATCGCATCGATCAGCTTATTGATTAAATGTTTAAATATTTGTATTGGGGTCAATTGATGAACTGATCGATTAAATGATTGAATAGCAATCAGTTGATGAATCTATCAATTAGATGTGCAAATAGGTCAATAGATGAACTATCGATTCAATGTGCAAACAGGTCAATTTATGAAATTTTCTATGACAATATCGATTATATATATATTGTGCTTGCTTGCTGCTCGCTCGCTTCTGGCTGTTGCAGAATATATTTTCCATACTAAGCCTGGACTTCTTCTTCTAGATAGCGGGGCTGGGACGCGTCAATAGTTAGATCACTGGTCTTTGGTCACTGAGTATTGTTCTCGTTCACAGTTAAGCGAACTCGTGAAGTTTCAAACATAACAATAGGTAAGTATATTTAAGTCTCATGATACAAGCGTACATTAATACATTAACACTATTAAAGACATAAAAAAATACTATAGAAGTTATGAGGATAAACAGAATTCTTAGTGTTTTAACAAATGATAACAACAATGATTATCAATTTATGTGATACATACCACTACCAGGGAAGTCCTACACACTGATTTCTCGTAACAGAGATGTCGTTTGCGAAATTCAGAGGACGAAAAGTGGACACCCAGTCTACGAACCGGGCTGGTGAATACGGAGCATCCACTTGGGGAAATTGGAAAAACCTCATTTCAAACAAATGGTACACATGGGTTCCAGGATCCTAAGGTAACATATGGCGTATGAACCTACTGTTGGTCTTCGGCTACCATGGGACTATATCTCCTAACGTTCTCCATTGCCTTGTGGATTAGATCTCTATGTAAAAGGCTTGAGTAATGGCCCTTTAAGAAGATCACCAGGTTCAGTTTTAGCACATGGCAAGTATTCCAGCACACACACACAAATTTCCTACCGTGCATATATATTCTGGTGTCGCTATGTACCGATATTTGTGTATTTAAGTAAATAAATAATAAATTGATATCCAATTTCTAGCTACGCATTTGATAAAGAAAGAGAAATCATTGTTAAATATTGAACATGATTTACGCGGTGTTGTGTCTAAGACATCGATCGGTACAGTGTGCTAAATTGGTCAATTACAATCCCGATTGTAATTTCCCTACATTAAGTACGCTATTCTGTCTATAACCTAGTGCCATAAACCTTGACCAAAGGCACATTTTAATAGACTATCGGGCCGTCAATTCGTGGCTTCACACACTAAAATTAGGGGAAGTAGCAACCAGGCTTCCATTATTCATATTTCAAGCATATATGAGTTTATATACAAACATACCGGACTACATCACACTATTAAATAGAAAATTATAGTTATACACAAACAGGTTAACTGTGACAGTGAATCGGGCAAGGTGTAGTTAGTTGTTTAGCAATAATTTTAGAATAATAAAACGTACAGTAATAGTTAGTGGGTCAAATGGAAGCCTATTATAAACGGAATATAGAAAAAATAATTAGTTCAGTTAAATAGTAATTATACAATATGGATATATATAATAGTCCATAAGATAGCTTAGATTGTTACCATTATTAGTATTATTTAAACACGAAAACACTGGTACAAGAAGGCACCTAATAGATGTGCACAACACAAATCACTCGATTTGTGTGTGGGCTGCGATACTGTCTGGGCGCTCAAACCGAATCACGTGGCTTCCTTAGGGGGCCACACCCGGAACCTTCGATTTAAAGGAGCAACGTTAGGAGATAAGGTCCCATGGTAGCCGGTGACTAACAATAGGTTCATATGCCATACGTTACTTTAGGATCCTGGAGCCCATGTGCACCATTGGTTTGGAATCAGGGTTTTCCAACTCCCCTAGATGGATGCTCCGTATTCACCAACCCGGTTAAAGCTCCGAACCTTCGCTTTTTCTCCTTTCAATTTCTTAAACAACACCCCCGCTGTGAGAAGGCAGTGAGTAGAACTTCCCTGGCAGTGGTTGTATGCACGTGGCCATGTAAGAGCATTTCGAGAGAAAGAGAGCTGACTCTCCTCACTCTCAGCCGTGCCATTCTTCATTTTATTACATCATATCATAACCTACTGTTGTACAATAAACAAAGAACATAATGAATATAATTATAAATCGATTATTCCCATTTTAAAGGTAAATAATAAAAGAAAATACAACTACTGATACTTCTTCTATGTTAATATTTAAGTGATAAAACTATTCAACACTTACACCAGTAATAAGTTCTTTAGCTTTTTCAAATTCTTCAATACCACAATGGGATAATAAAGTTTCAGAACCATATAATTTATCTATATGACGTATAATCTCATCGGATTCTGGTAATTTTTGTTCATTTGGTAATAATAATAATGGAACTTTGCCAATTGGATACATTTCTAAAAACCATTCAGGTTTTGAAGCCAATGAAACATTGATAAGATCATAACTGTGTTGAAATGGGAAAGAGAGAGAGAGAGAGAGAGAGAGAGAGAGAGTAACAACATCATTTCCATTACAGATGAAATAAAACAATGACAAACAAGTTTATGTTATGGATTAAGATTGTTAAAGGATATTTAGATATTGTTGGACTAACGAAGTCAAATAATAAGATCAGATGATTGATAATATGTAATGATACATAACTAAAGTTTTTTGACTTAAGTCTCCAGGTCAACTGATATCATGGGATAAGGCAGCTGACAAACAAAATAGAGGGTTTTCTATACAATAGAATAACATGCACACGTGCAAAACATTAACACAAACTAAACAGGATGGGTGATTTGATGGAATCAATCTAAGTAGGTTACTTACCCTTTAATGAATTGAAACCTTGTCTATCATAATATTAATTTTGCTCCACTTCCTCCAAGGAATTGACATTATAAGACAAGACAGTTAAAAGTATAGTTTTTGAAATAACCATTAACTAAAGAAAGATGAATAGTGGCTAGCAGTGGAATCCAAGACGCGCGTTTCGTCCTATTTATGACCCATCAGGGAAGTTACAAGTAAAAACAACAACAAGTGAATTTAACTTCATTCCACTGCACAAGCAAGTGACTATCAGTACTCAGTAGCTCAGTGGATAACACGATGGCATTTGAAGCGAACGATACTGGGTTCGATTCCCGGAGTGAACATCAACTCTGGGATGCAGGTACATCCAGTTGACGAGTCCCAAATAAGACGAAATTAACGTCCTGGATTCCACTGCTAGCCACTATCCATCTTTGCTTATAATGCTTGTGAATTAAGGTTATATCGAGGCAATTCGCACAGGATGAACATATGCCAACATGAGACTGATCAATCACAGTCCTAAATAATAATGGGAAGATACAGGTAAAAAAAAACACTAAGTAAACCACTAATTAACTATCACAAATCACAAAACTTTCTGATGTCTATTATAATTATACTGATTTTTCTTAAGCACAACATTGGATTTCTGTATAATTTATGATCATTCTTGTAACTCTATCAACTTAAAAACAGATTCAAAATAATCTAGTAAATGCTGGGATACTGTTCGGGTGCCCAAACCGAACCACTTGGTTTTCTTAGGGGGCCAAACCCCGAGCCTTTGACCTAAAGGTCTGACCCACAAGGCAGTGAAGCAACGTCAGGAGATTCCGTCCCAGGGTCGCCAGTGACTAACAATAGGTTCATACTCCGTTTGTTCCCTAAGGATCCTGAAGCCCATGAGCACCAATGGTTTGGAATCAGGGTTTTTCAACTGCCCTAGGTGAATCCTCAATATTCACCAATTCGGTTGAAGCGCCGGACATTCGCTTTCCGTCCTCTCAATTTCGTAAACAACAGTAACGCCACAAGAAGGCAGCGAGTATGACTTCCCTAGCAGTGGTTGTATATGTGGGCCATGTAAGAGCATTTCGAGTGGGAGAGCTGACTGTCCCCACTCTTGGCCGTACCAGGACATTCCGGATGTTTTTGTAACGGATATTGAGTGCGCGCACACTTTATATGTCACTTAGAATCCCTAGTCAATGCTATGAATCAAGGGATGAAACAAGTGTTCGCGAAGCTGTCCCAAAACCAGAATGCCTAGGAGTAATGTCGTTCACGCAGTCGAAAAATTTAAACTTAGTTCACAAGTTTGAAATTACGAGTAAGCCTCAATGCTTGCAGTGGTAAAAATAAAGATTTATTTAAGATGAAAGTAGTTGAACTAGACCTTGGCTCACGAAGATGATGTCAAATGAAGAAAAAAAAATATGCCGTTTTGATGTCATCCAAAATGTTAAAGATGGTCACTTTGTGTAAAGCACTCAGTGTTTCTGGAAAATTGTATGATGAGCAATCATCAAATTTCAATATTCGTTATAATTATCAACAGATACCCAACGAATCTGATGATATTTATTATCTTGCTTATTCGGACAAAGTGAATGTCAAACATAAAAAAGTCAACTTTGTTTTAGTAAATTAAAGTCATTCCAATTGCACAATATACCTGTATGCAGAATGCAGCAACCTACTGATCTTAATATGTATGAAGCACATAAACCGTTCCACTTAAATGTTTTAGCAACAAAGCGAGCCTACATGTGTCATATACTTTATTACTGACAAATTAAAATGTAAAATATGCTTATTCGTATTGTGTCTGGAAAAAATGGCATCGTTTTTTTTCTTTATATGAAAGGTGGAAAAACCGTCATGTCCTATCCACTACCAGCGCTTCTTCCCGATTTCTTCCTTCACTGGGATCTGGTTTGTTCTTTCCCACAGTTGGTTGTTGCTAATAGTGTTTGACCAACGGATCCGAAGTATTTTGCGTAGACAACTGTTAATAAACACTTGTATCTTCTGAATGATGGCTTTCGTAGTTCTCCAGGTTTCCGCCCCATACAGTAGAACTGTCTTGACACATATAATGAAGGTGTGAGTAATGTTGAGACAGTTCAGATCAATAAAGTTACATTATTTGTAACGTGGGTATATGAAGATCGAACATCCTTTCGTGAGGGGAAGGAGAACCATATATGCATTGAACAAAAGAGCAGAGCAAAGTTAGCATAAAACTGAAAAAAGCCCAACTGAAAGCTGGACTAGCCGAGAAGATCCTATCGGGTATGAAGAAGAACAACAATATTTCGAATGGATACTCCATGGAAAAACTTATTCCTACGTATTCAATTACAAAGAAAAGGGGAGGTGATAAGACAAGATAAAACGGAAAATCAAAATTTGACTCATTACAATTCATATTCAACATTACTCCCGTTTTTTTATTCAATGTGATAATTACTTAGTGTAGTTTTTGGTGGAGTTTTGTTCTCTGAGCTGGATGGTTTGGTCGTGGAGCTTTCATCGTCATCATCAGCACAAACTTCAGATAGAAGTGAAGTGTTTGAATTTCTCCATATGTGTCTCAAAGCTTGTTCTGTGCACCTCGACGTTGATTGGTTCTTATTGACCTTAAATTTGTCGTTGTTTACTTCTTTGTTTTGGTTGTGTCTCCCATTGTTTTGATTTTTGTTCTTATGTTTGTGCATGATATTTTGTCAATAAGAACCAATCAACGTCGAGGTGCACAGAACAAGCTTTGAGATACATATGGAGAAATTCAAACACTTCACTTCTATCTGAAGTTTGTGCTGATGATGTCGTTCAGAAGAACGATGAAAGCTCCACGACCAAACCATCCAGCTCAGAGAACAAAACTCCACCAAAATCATCCACCTGAGCTACAAATCTTCTCCACCATCTCAAAATCATACTTAGTGTAGTACTTGTTTTGTTTCCCAGTGTGATGTTTTAGTCTGTATAACATACAATATTCTTGTATTAAATTCAAATAAACTATACTCAGCATGACATGTAGCATGTGATTTTGTTATAACTGGGTATTTTTAATTTGTGTGACTTAACTCTAACTAATAATCAAAATGGGTTTAGATTCAATATAATATAAATGAGTGTATTTTCAACTCGGATTGTCGTGTTTTAGGGTTAATAAATCTTCACTTGTAACAGTTTTGATGTTCTTACTTCATATCGTTGAAATTGCAGTGGTTTCTCGCTCTCCTCTTGAAGTATAAGTAATAAGCGACACGGATATAACAATAACAAACTATGAAGCTGGGTGACACGAGATTGAAGAATTCGCCAGAAAGCATTAATCCCCCCCGCCATGATTATAGATACACGTTTCTGACGAGTATCGATTAGCACAAAACCTACGTTAAGTAAGGTTTCCTATCGACTGAACATCATTAAAGCACACAACTAGCTTTAAAGGAAGCGATCGTCCCTCAGTACCTCGTCACAACCTCCCCAGTCACCAATCACTAAGAGGTATCATCTGAAGAACAGGTTCCTTATCAATTTTCATGGCTAAGCACTGAGAATAGTCTTTCAAAACGGTGAAATATACTTCAAAATTTGAGGATAAAAAGTCAACAGATTTCCATAATTTTAACTAATCTTCATTATGGTAACTTAACTCATTTACCAAGTACACATCTATTGATTAGGTTTTCAGTCACATTATTTATGTGGGCACAAGTGTTACTATTCAACTGCCCAAATAAACGTAAGCAAAGTAGGGTTCAGAGTCACAAACTAGTAGCGAAGAATAAGTATTTTAACTACTAAGCCATAGTTGGTTAGGATATTTCAACTAAATACTCAGTTTATGACAATGTTGTAAATTCTTTGAATATATCTATAATTAAGTACTCGTAAAGAAAACAAGGGTCAGTCAGCTACAACGTAGGACCAGGCATATATATACATCGTTCCAAGTGATCACACCTCGTTAGCACAATAAGATGAACACCGAAATCATAGAAGTAGTTAATTCAATGGTGGTAATATATAAAAGAAAGATTACATATAAGGATATAGTACAGGAATGAAGAATTAGTTCGTAGAAAGAATATGAAGCGATTTTAATCTTTTAGTTTAAGGTAAAACAAAGAGTGTATACACCTACACCATTGTGATCGATTCTGAACTGTCACACAGAGTCTCCAAACATTGATTATGATAGTCACGCGAACAATAACCAAATAGTCTCCATCTACCAACATGGCTCAGACTAGAAGTTAGTGACTTTAAGCACTGATGCCACATTTTGGTTTGGCCGCCCCTAACTTTCTTCCAACTAGTCAGCATTGAGCGTCGTAGTAGTCGGTGGTCGGGCATGCGTTAGATTCGTATCTAACGTCGGCACATCTTTAGATCAAAACTCCAAACAGTAGATTATTCCTTAAAGTATTAAACGAAGTTTTTAATCTAAAAACATATCCGTGAGAATTCACTTGATATTGTTTTACTTGAATCTTCCCATTGATGTTTTAGGACTGAAATTGATCAGTTTCTTATTGGCATATGTGCATACTGTGCGTATTGCCTCGATATTGCCTTAATTTACAAGGATTATAAGCAAAGATGGATAGTGGCTAGCAGTGG